ATTAGATGTTTTGTGAAGGTGTGGTTCATGTAAAGTGTTACCCAAAGGACTAGTACATACTAAATGCTGCAGGGCCATGTAGTATGGGCCATGGCTCAGGATCTGGCATAACTAAACAAACCAGACAAGAGTGAAAACTAAACAAATCCATAAGACAAACATCAAGGGCGTACACAATCATCTGCTCTGGGAACCAAGGGAAAATCGTGAATATATCAAATGATCTATTAATAAAGGAAGGTAAATTGCACAACATGCGTTTTAATGATTAACATGGTGCTCCATGATTTGAGAGCGAACAGGGGTGTAGTAGGCAAAAAAAAATAAATTTAAATGCTGCGGCTCCACACTGCCGTAAATTAGTGACAAAAAGTTTGTGAACCCAAATAGAATGAACAGAATTTCTGTACACATGACTCCTAAAATGTGATCTGGTCATTATATTAGTCATTATAATAAAGACATATTTATAAAAAGTAAAATATAAAACACACACATCTTACACTGCAATGTCTAACTTGCAAACGACTTAATCAAGGTAACCAATGGAAAAAAGTATATGAATCTTTAGCATAATGGGCTCATGGGTTGACAGGTGTTACTATACGTTCTGGCTTTTCTGGAGCTTCACCGGCCCTGTCATACAAGTGCAGTGTGTGATTAGCTGCTCCTCACAACGATTCTGGACAGGTGCAATACAGCCTGACTGACAGCCAGAGAACCTCAGAAGAGGAGCTACTGAACCTCATGAGGCTGGTTACACGGGGATTGCAAAAGACTTGGGCTTCACAGCTAAGGTAGCAGGAACCTCTTTCACTAGATAGCATATGTGCTCATTAGCCTATCATGAGAAACACACTGAAGGGCAGAGGTGTTTATGGAAGGCCACCATGAGGGGGAGCTCTAATCTCCACGACCACCTAGATCAGGGGTCTCCAACTCCGGTCCTTGAGAGCTACCGTCCAGTAGGTTTTCTATCATACCCGGCTTCTGGTAAGCCACACCTGTTCTCAGGTAAATACCAGGAACAGGTGTGGCTCATCAGAAGCCTAGTGGGACAGAAAACCTACCGGGTAGTAGCTCTCCAGGACCGGAGTTGGAGACCCCTGACCTAGATGTTCTACAGCAGTGCTGGAACAATGTACAGTACTATGGTCAAATGAGACAAACATTGATCTTTTAGTAAATGTACACAATGCGACAATTGTAGTGAACAAATCACTGCATAGCAACTACAAAAAGTCATGGCTAACTCTGAAGCTCAGGGTGGGGGGGGGGGGGGCTTGGGTGGGTAGGGGGGGGTGGGTTGCC